GGGATCCCGGAACGCCATTACCACAACGATCTTTAAATAATATGATAAATTATATGTCGATCAACATCTCAGCTGGCAGGACCACGTTGACTACCTCTGTGGAAAACTATCTTCTGCACACCACGTTGTTCGAAGAATTAGAGCCATCGCCAATGAAACTACAGCATTAATAGCCTACCACTCCCTCTTTTGTTCACATTTGCGTTATGGGATTGCTGCATGGGGATCCACAGCGGACAGGAACATGGAACGCATCCTCACCATCCAAAAGAAGACCATAAGGACAATCTTTCAACTGCCAAATCATGAACACTGCAAGCCGATCTTCAGAGAACACAAAATCCTTACAGTTATATCCCTGTACCTGTTGGAATCCATCACACTTGCAAAACAATCGACACCTACCCTGAGATCAGAACAACATTCATACAACCTCCGCAACACACATAACATAGACCTGCCACAACATCGATTGCAGAAATTCAACAATAGTCCTCACTACTCTGGCTCTTACTTCTTCAATTTATTACCACCACAACTCAAAACCATCAAAAAACCTGTCACCTTCAATAGTAAACTAAAACAATACTTAACAGATAGGCCATAATACACAGTCTTCGAATTTATTGTGGAGCACACTTTCCAACACCTGAGACGTGAATAGGCCTACAAACCCATCATCCCCTGAAGTTTGATCAGGAAGAAGTTTGACGATTCCCCGATCCCTGGATTGTGGAGAAGACACCGGATGGTAAATGGTAAATGGTGATACGATTTACAGCCATCAGTGTTCATGGTGTAGTGGATAGTGCTCGGCTGATATAGCCTACAAGAATCCCGTCGGTGTCAAAGATTTTGCTTTGAATGCCATTTCTTCTTAACTGTAAGTTAGGTAACTTAGGTTTTATCTTTTGTTAGAATTTTTGTCATTTATAATTTTATGAACAGCATTTAAGTAATCCTTCATTCGATTTTTTCACTAACTTATCAGCAAGTTTGGTTGGTTAGGTTAATTGACAGTTCTTAACTGCCAGATGCCTAATCCACGTCCGGCTAACTTACTGGATGCGTATCCTCTGTGATTGTGATAATCTAGGTTAGCCTAGGCCTAAGTTAGGTACCGGTAGTCTAAGGTTGTTTTGTTAATTCATTTACTGTAGGCCTACGCCTAACTTATTTATTTCATATCAACGGCAAGAGCCAATTTCTACTAGTTTGATTTGTGAACAGCAAAATACCCACACTGCTAACTTACCTAGACACAAATTTCCTATCCCTATGCCTGGAATTTTTTGTACGTAGGAGGGTGGTAGGAGGCATAGGCTGAGTACATCATAAGACATGACATTTATTGATCTTAAGAGGTTATCACGTGCAATGCAATCGATCTTGTCATGAGAAATTGAATTAAATCTCACGAATTAGCCTACATTTCCATTTGACATTCCTGCTAAGGCCTTATGTTAGGTAGATACTGTACAGTGATACAACTAAGTAGGTCTATACAGTTTTTCTGGTCTCTTACCTTGCTTCTGACTTCTACTAGGCTACCACTACACTTCTGAAGTGGCAAGTAGAAGATGGTAGAAGTTAGTTGTTAAACCTCTCTCCTTCTACTTGTTCGTTGTCGTATTTAAACAAACTTTACAGAAGAAATGAAATATAATTCCTGGAACATGAGTATCCAATGTGCTAGAAGTCAGAAGTGCGCTATGCTCAGTGTGCTGTACTCTACTCTGTACTGTACTGCTCAGTGCTGCTCACTGCTGTCGCTGCTCGCTGGGTCGCTAGTAGTAGTAGTTAGTAGTGTTCGGTATCGAACATCGATGTTTGGAGGTCGATGTTCGATGTTTTTACCATCGATGTAAGAAAGTCGATGTTTTACTACCATCGATGTTTTGGTATCGATGTTTTTTTTTGCTGAAGCTGTTTGTTTGTTGGTTGATCGTAAAATAAATACATAGATAAAACATGTTTTATCTATTGTAAATATATCGATGTTCGTAGCAGAGGAGATGGACAGATTGGAACGGAACAGAGTGGACTGGACTGATTTGGCGTCAACCCTATCTGCGAGCGGGGAACGGAGCGAGTTAGGAGGAACGGAGGTTTAGTTTTCCCACGAATTCCGTCATATCGGCATTTTTAAATGAATAACGGAATACTGAGATCTGAGATTATAAAATTCAAAAATTCGATATGATTAAGTTGAAAACTTCGATGTTTTTCGCTTAAAAACATCGATGTTTTTCGCATGAAAATATCGATGTTTTTGAACCGATGGTTTTGCAGCATCGATGGTGATAGATCGATGTTGCTATCGATGGTAACATCTCGATGTCCGAACACTAGTCGCTAGTCACTGACGCTGTGCTGCTGTGAGCTGTGTAGCTGACAGCTGTGAGTGTGGGGTGGGGGTGGGGGGATGCGGAAGCCGGCTATAGCGTCTCAGTTTCCCCTCCCAGGAACTGATGAGAACCTCTTTTCTTTAGAGAAGGAGTGGGGGGGGGGGGGCGTGACGTCACTTTGCTCTTAGAGAACACCATTACCGTAACGACTAACGAGACGATAGGATTCTATCGGTGTTCGTGGCGTTGTTGATAGCGTCTCGGACTCGTGATCGGAAGGTCCCCAGTTCAAAATCCGCCGGTGACACCAACTTTTTGTCCAAGGATTTGCTTAGATTGCGAATACTTCTTAACTGTAGTACATTAATTTTATAATTAAACACCTTCATTCGATTTTTATTTTATATTTTTTTTATATTATCAGCAAGTTTGGTTGGTTAGGTTAGGTTATGACAGTTTAATTTTATAATTACAAATTTTAAAATTAATTTTATGGTTATAAAGTAAATTTTCTAACTAAAATATTATAAAATAGGTTAATTTAAAGATTTTCTTAAATCGACGTGAAGGGCTCTCCCACAATCCCCCACGCTTTCACAGAAAAGGTTCTCATCAGCTTCTGGAAGGGGAAAAGGAGACGCTAGTGAAGCCGGCAGGATGGATAGTCAGGTTGGGTAGCAGGAAAATACCTATTTCAGTTCTGGCGGAGAGGCTGCAATTTTAGGTGGTTATAGTATACAAGTTTCTGAACCTAAAACCGCCCAGACCCCAATTTTTAAGGACCTCGGTCGTCCGTAATGACGTCATCAAAATGGCGGCCGTAAGAGGATGCTGGGTCCCCATGAATTGGCTATAACGACCGAATGCCTGAACCGATTTTCATGAAATTTGGCACACAAGTGCTTGAATACATTATCTCGGCCTGGATTAAAAATGGTCAAGTTTCGTCAAGTCATTTAAAAATGACGGCTGTTCAATACTAAAAAAAAATATGAGGAAAATAATTGTGAATTGTTTTATACAGGGTGAGTTTTAAATGAGTCCCCCTTTACTTTTTTATACATTTCTTAAGATATCAACTCCGAACCACGTCAGATCATTGTAGAGTAGCAAGTACATCATTTTGACTGAGTTTAAATTTTTGGCCGCCATCATGGATCCGCCATATTGGATACAAAGTTATTTTTTCAAATGTAAAGTTAGGGTTCTGACCCAACGTTTCAAACAAGACTTTTACGCTGAATACGATGCTGCAATCCGTTTAAAAAAATGTTGATCCATTCTAAAGTTATGAGAACTTTTTAGAACTTTATTTTTAGTCCATTATAACATTGTGCATTTACAAACTAAGGCCATAATCTCAAAATAGTGTTAGATAAAGATAAGTGGACACCACCATTCATTGTTGACCTATTTTCACTCGGTTAAGGGATGTATTTTTTTCAGCCGCCATCTTGGATCCGCCATTTTGAAATGTGATAAATTATTTTATCCGTTTTTTGTTATCAAGCTTTCTTGATAAAACATTACAATTATTTTTATTTAAAATGTCAATATTTCAAAAACCAATATGACAATGAAAAACAAATTGCGGCATTGAATTCGGCATAAAAAAGTAGTTCAAAATGATGGGTCACAACACCACCTTTATATTTAAAATAATTGATCATATTTCAAAATGGCGGATTCAAGATGGCGGCTGAAAAAAATACAGTAGTACCAGATTTCAGACAAACTACATAAGTTATATACGACAATGCATTTTTTGTAAAAAAAAAGTAAATATAAGAAGGGAAGTCGATCTAGGGAACCATTAGCTCAAGTTCTCCCAATCACGTTGTGTCCCGTGCTGTTGTAGTATTACCCTTAGTTTTTGACCCTAAATGTTCATGTACGTGTGCAATGTATTTATTAATTATGAATTAACAACCTTCAAATGAAGCGAGAAGAGATCTGTACTGGACCGACAATGACTCCTATGTGAGTCGAAACCGGTTACTACAATTTAGCAACACATTTGATTGCATAAATGCAGGTATTTACACAAGTTCTTTAGTATTTAAATGCGATCAGGAGGCTAAAATTCAATATGATGAAAAATATTGTTCTACGAGCCGAAAAGATTTTGCTGTTCTCATTTTTGGCTTATACGAAATATACTATTTTGGGTTTAGGGGAACAAAAACAATACTGTCAAAAGGGGAAAACAGTACTTTCTCCATATATTATGTAAGAAATAAAGGGAGAGAAAGTAAAAATGGTTGTGTACCAACTGATTAAAATAAATATTAAAACACAACCAACACTTTTGTCTGACTATTGGCATTGGAGGGTAAATCCAATAAGCATAATAATTCTAAGTCTACCCCTAAGGTTGAAGAAAATAAAGTAAAACTTTTAGTTATTGAGGTTACTGACTGGCATGTATAGTTGTGAGTGAGGGTTTGGTTATGATTTTGAACAGTAGGAATATAGTCTTAGAGGCTTGAGGGGTAAAATGTTGTACATGCCAGTTTTTAGGTGGCCAACAAAAATTGATAAGAATAAGAATATACATATACTATATTTTTCACTTAACTTTAAGAAATACAAAAACATAACAATATGGGAAATTATTTTGTTTAACACTAGATCTCATAACATTGTCTTTATTGAATAATATTTTCTGCTTTATAATGGGGTTAGATACTTTTCCATCCTCCTTTCAGTGGCTCTCTTGGACATGTTTCTGTGTGGTTGGATTTCCATCACTAATGTCCTGGTGTTCAACTGGGGAGACAAGTTGGCAGAAACTGTGCCCAATACAACTGAAAGAATAATACAAAATCACTAACACTATTTGAAAAAAGTATTAAAAATTTTCAGGAAATTTATATAGACACAACTATTGTCCTGTGTCTAAATTACCCCCTTTCTAAAAAATTTTGAGAAAGTTGAAAGTTTACAACTTTTACATTCTTTGACCGGAGCGCAATAATCTTTTTCCAGAAGAAAAATCACAGCATCAGTCATGCCTTTGCAAATGTTATAGATGACATTGCATGGATGTTGGGTGGGTCAGGTGTGTTTTGTGATCCATCTAAAGCTTTGATCATATGTACATCATATCTTACTTAAAATTATGAATATCCTCCTTTGTCACGGTACTTCTTCCGCAGTCAGCGGCGAAATCGTACCTTCGAGGTCATTGTAAAATCAAGGAAATATTAAAGTCACATTCCCCAGAAAACGGCAACATCATTTTCTCTTGTAATCATTGCCAAAATCATCTATTTTCAATTGCACATCTTGGCAAGTGCTTTCAATAGTAGGCCTATTAGAAATAACTGTTACACCTGACCCGAGCTAGGCCAAAAAATACTCTTGTTACGTTTTTTTTTTTTTAGCGAATTTCCCTATAGGGAAGTAGCTATTACCGTAGGTCTCATGGTAAGACCTAAGCCAGGGACCGATTTACTTTTTCATTTTGATGTCCCCAGAGGCCAAAAAAACCATTTGTTCAAATTTTTATATATCTATATATAGATATATATTACTAAGTAAATCAAAATACCACAGTACCCTAAAAACTCAGAAATGAATAAAAATATGCACATTCTGGATATTGAAAATAAAGGTGAAAAAATGAATACAAAAGAAGACTTTTATATTTATACTCATCATATTAATGACAAAGACAATTTACTAAACTTGACACAAATTCAAAATCAAAACGTAATAATATTCAATGAAATTCTAAATCTTAAAGAAAACACCTCCTTCCCTTAGCATAAAAATTATCACCTGTTCTTTAACAAGAAATATCTAATAATGTTTGTAAATAAAAGAAACTAATAGGTTATATAATATACTGTGATCATGGCATTAATGTCCGAAACATGTAAGTAATATAAAACTAGGAGTACGCTCCGAAGTCGCGTATGAGAATGAACGAAGACAATTCCATGTAGGTGCCCCTTAACCCTGCCTCTGCGGCCCGCCGCAAGTTCGTGCGGCGACAGTGGCAGTGATGACCAGCGTTGCCAACACAATTTGCTCATTTTACCCGCAAAATCCAGTGGTAATCCCCGGAATTAGCCGGAATCAAGTCTTGATTACCCACCAAATCCCCAGAATTCAAATTTTAAAGATTTCGGCAAACTTTTTGGTAAAAAACTCGTTGTAACCACGTTGTTACGGTGCATTGAGAGAATTATTAATATGTATACCATTCTTTCTTATATTCAGCAAACCGTTCATCATTCATTTCAAGTTTTTTTAACGCTACCTTTTTTAACTGAAGTCAAATGAAATGTAATGAAATATCTATTTATGTAGGTAACTATTTATGCAAATATTTTTATCTTTCTGAAAGAGAGGTACCGGAACTCCGTCCCACTGCATTCCCCCCAAATCGAGCACTGAATAACAGTAAGACTCTATCCCCTATATATCAACCATAAAAGTAAAAAAAAAAACATAACATTTACAAGATTTTAAACCTTATGTGATGGCCCCTGGCCCTATCATAAATTGAAGAAATAATGTTAATTATAAAAGCCAGAGCAAGTAATGCAAGAGTACCCTAGGTCTATCGCGAATGGCAATTTGAGTACTGTGGTTTATTCGGAATTCTTATGAATAATATTCAATAGTTTGATGCCAAAAAATGGTGTTAGTAACCCTTATGGGAAAGTGGACTGGTCCCAGATCTGGATTCTATATCTGGCCAGATCTGGGATGACATATCTGGACATATTCCAGATCTGGCACCCATATCTAACCAGATATGGAATTAGTTCAGATCTGGCATCACAGATCTGATCGTATCTGGCATCCAGATCTGACCAGATATGGAATATGAAATTGGTAAAATTTGTGTTTTAAGAGACAAACTAACATTTTATGTTATCCACACTTTATTCTCTTAAAATCCAAGCCTAAAAAAGATAGTAACCATTGACAGAGAAAATGAAAAAACTTTAACTAAATTAACGCATGAGTAAAAAAAAATAGTTTTAATTTGTTTGGTTTGTAGAGTGTTGTTTATTGTAGGCCTTTCACAATCAATGTTGTTTTTGTGTCATATGGTTGCCAACCATTTGTTTTAGCATAAGTAAAGGACCATTAAAAAAAAGTATTAAAGTACTAAAGTTAGCCTACGATAACATTGTGTGTAGGCCTAACTTTTTTTATTATTAATTAACTGGTGAACCCCTCTTAAAATTTTCTTTAAAATATTCCAATTTTTCACTTCATTGATAGATAGGCCTATGAGATCAACAAATGATTAAATCTGTAGGAACTGTTGTAGTCAGTCGAATTTCGTTTGGTAAAAGTTCTACCGAGCAAGACAATTTTTTGGGAAATGTTATCTTACAATTACGAGACCTGGATTCTCGTATTCGTAATGGCTTTCGTTACAATACTTGATTTGAAGTGGCCGTGGTGTAGTGGCTAAGTGATCGGAGTTCAATGCTAGAGTCCCTGGTTCAAATCCCGGTCGGGCAAGTTTAAAACTTTTATTAACAGTGTTTTCACTTTTTAATTTTTATTGAATTTTTAATGCATAGTTCATTAGGTTTTAATGTTAAAACATCTTATATTCTTTTTTATTTTATAAAAATCATTTTCTTTATAAGTAATCTGGAACTCCTTCTTAAGGGAAGATGCAAAACAATGTTACTATTTAAAATGCATAACAATGTTATTATTTAAGTATTTTAACCTGTAGGACCATGCTACCAGAAGAATAGAAGCCTGTATATCCCTCTCAGTGTTACTTGACGAAAATTCGACAAGCAGCACACTTTGTGTAGTGTTACTTGTCGATTTTTCGACACGCAGACATCGTTTACGGCGAAGGCTCTATGACTGACTGAATCGGATTGAACTGGATCGAGTTAGGTATCGTTCTTTCCGTAATATTCTAAGCTTTCTCCAGAGGTCTGTCTCTAAGCGCTATTCATTTTAGTTCCGAAAATATTGTAGCAGACAGCTGACGTGCGTGTATTTGTAAACAGCTAGGTTCCCCCGGACCGATGACTGATGTGTTTTATTACGTTTATCATTGTTTTAGTGTTAAAAATCAAAAGTAGTGATATACGTGGTGCATTATAAGAAGATTTAAGTGGTTTTGAAGTGCTGGTTGATGATCCTGAAGAAGTAGGTAGTGATATTGATGTAAATTATCAGCCAGATTCCTAGCTATGGTTAGGCTATGCATTCTTAGCTAAACGCTATGTACTGAAATCAGTTTTTTGCCCATAACTTATTTATTTGCAAATCTACTTCCTTATATTATTATATATTTGTAATCCTCATAAAATTTAGAACAAAGTGGCTATTTTCAAATATTTATAGGCCTATAATTTATACAATTTCATTGAGCGCGAACTTATTTTTTTTTTTGAAAATTTTCGAAATTATATTTTTTTTACCTAAAAATTTTTTGTTTGAAAAAATGTTCCTTATGTTTTATATATAATATTGAAGCCCATGATTTTCCAAACAAAATGGTATATAGAACATTAGAATTAACATTGTTTTAAGCTTCTCAGATCCGTTTTAATAAAACCTTGCAAATGCGCCAAAAATAGGTGGACATTAAGGCCTAAACTATGGACACTTGGAGGGTTAAAGAAACAAATCAAGTACTGTAGGCCTACCTATGGAAATTGAATTTAAGGTAAAAATAACAAGATAAATATTTCAATTTGTTTTATTTGCAAGCATTTTTTATAGGCCTATTGTTATTTCATTGTATTTCAACCACGATTTCAATCAGGGGCGGACTGGCCCGCCGGCCCACCGGCCGGTGGGCCGATACGCCTTCTCAACATTCCAATATTTGCGCCCTCGTTAAAGGAAAAATTCATAAAAAATTTTAAAAAATGAGACGAGATGTGTTTTTAGAAAGCAATAGGAAAACCCTAGAGTAAAAGTTTCAGCAGTGAATAGCAAAACATAAAGTCGGGTGTGAGACCTGAATAGACACTGTCGACAAGCGAGAGCAAAGCAGCTCTTCTCTCTCGTACGTGTAGGCCTACTCCGAGTGGAAGGCACTCTGTGGTCTGAGGTACTTAAAAACAGCTGTCCTCTTCCCGCGTCATTTTACGCCGAACCCGAAAAAAACTGCACTGCGACTGCATCCGACATCGGTCGGTGTCACGATGTCGTCTGTGGTAAACAGCTAGTGAAGATAATTTAATATTATTCATATTTGTTATAATATTTAATTATTGCTCACACTATAACTATTTCACTTTAAGTCACATTTAATTTTTATCAATGTCAACTCAACTCTCTTGTAAAATGGCGTTTGCCGTGCATGTAATAAATAAATAAAGAGTGTGAGCTGCCAATTAAAATGTGTCTCTCTTTAGTGAGTGTCTGATTTGTGTCTCTGTGTCGAAAGCTTCAATTTATTTTTATATTATTTACCTACACAGGAAACATGAACGAAAGCAGTATTGTAGAATCACTACTTTTACAAAATTTAAATTAGATTTAGTGACAGTGTATTTGTTAACTTAACCATTACACAGTAAAGGTTAAACAGTAAACATTATTTTAATACCGTATGTGGCTACCGCCTATTAATTAATTATTTCAATATGCACTATGGCACTAATTTGGTCAACTTTCCTATTTTACTTACAGATAGCCAGCTCAAAATACCTTCGTAGTTCTCTCTAGGCTATTTCGTTTGTAGAAATAGGTTAGGTAGGCCTACTTTAGGGTTACAGTTTTGACTTAATGTAATGCTAAAAAAGTTTAAGTCAATAAATTGGTTTTGTTCACAGTGAAAGCATATTGTTTGTGTTAA